CGCGCCTCGGCGCGACCCGGACGGCGACGACAGCCCTCACACCCCCCCGCCATCACCGCTTGCTCAGAGGCCGTGTCAGGCCCGCCCCGCGGCGGGAGGCGGGAGATTTCTCCCCTTAGAGCTCGCCCCGCCATGCGCGGGAGAGTGGGAGCAGCGGCGCGGGATGGGGATGAAGCAGGGCTGAGCCTCGGGGGGGCTGCGTGCTGTCAAGGCTCTGCTGTCCTACTTTTAGCGTTAAGTAGCTGACACGGCTCTTAAACGGGGCTTTTTCGCAGTCTTGGTCTAATACGTTTTGCGTGAAAATGTAGGTGTCCTTTAAACCTGGCTAAGTGAAATCGGAAACTAAAAGCTGGCACCACCTAAAATAAGCTGGACAAAGCAAACGTAGCCAGCACTTTATGATTAGTATTTATATCACGTTTAGATTATTTTAGCAAAATAACTGTTGCGCTCATTAAAAAGAGATGGGATAGATGATGGTTCATACATTCTAACAGTGTGAGTCGGTGATAAGGACCTAAACCAAACTCAGTTCCCGTTCCCAAGAGTAGCAGCTTCATTACTCAAGTTTCCTACCTCTGTAGGCCTTTGTATTGGTGACCTCTCATTTTCTGATTTTTTTTTTTTCTTGCATATGGAATAATTGCTTCTCACGAGACTCCTAGCCAAAAGTGTGGAGAGTTTCTTGCCAGGCATATAAAGATAGATGCTTAAAAATTTGTGCTTAGGAAAGGGGATATGTCTTTAAAAGAATCCTTCTGACTTCAGAGATTTTCTTACTGGAACTCTTGACGTTGGGTGGATGACAGAGGACCTACAACTTAGGCAAACACAACAGTGAAGGACATAACACTGTTCCGTAGGCATTTGGTAGGATGGTTACGTGGCATCTAACTCTGGACCAAGAACAGATTCTAGTTAAGTTTTTGATACTGTTTCAAAATTTTGTTCTTTACTGCAATGCCAGTACAAATGTTTAAAATGATACAATACTAGAACTCCCTCTGAAGAAAACAGTCCTGAGAGATGTATGTTGTTAAGCCTGCTCATAGTGCAATACTGATAAGGTGTCATTGGTTAGAGGCCTGAGTCATGCTGAAGAGCACTTGGGGCACAGCTGAGCTCTGTTTATGCATTCGAACTTTTGGAAGCAAGATGAGCAGCTTGATGAAATTGAATGTGAGCACTTAATTTAGTGTAGTCTGGGAGAAAATGAATGTTCCCCTGTTGTGGTCCTGCTTTGCTATTATCATGTCCTCTCTAAGAACCTCTATTTAATCAAGTATGTGAGCTTAAGGCATGGGTTTGCATTGATTCTTTATACTGAAATGTGCTAGAAGATGGTTTTCTTTCCTGCTTGGAATTACTTGCAAGAAAATGTGTGTATTTTTGAGGAATTATCTGAAGGACACTGCCCAGTAGGCACAATTTCTGTTTACTTTCTTGTTTCAGAATGGGCCAGTTTCAGTCTTCATTAAAGAACAATTCTAGTTGTAATCTCATTTCTAAGATTAGTGAACTAGTTCAGGCTTTAAGCATAACCTAATCAGTGTTTTAGGGGGTGTTGTGTGAAAAGGCAGGTGAGGAAGTTCAACTGTGATCTGCATAAAAACCTTGAATACTTGTGTTTTAGAGTGGGAAAACTCAAAAAGTTGAGGAAAAAACATAGTGTTAAGATATTTTAGATTAATTGATAATTGCATCTTTATATTTTGGTGTACTGTGACTGTTACTACCAAATAGAACTGCAATTTATAACTTTCTTACCAATGGATAAATGTGAAAAAATATCAGCAAAGTTTAATAGGTGTTCATCCTGAAATAGAGGTAAAAATACATCTTTATTTTTGTGCTTTTTTTTTTTTTTTCCAGCCTAGTAATCCGTGGTGAAAAGGATGAACAAGCAGTGTTGTGCAGCAAAGATAAAACTTACGACATGAAAATAGCAGATACCTCAAATATGCTGCTGTTTATTCCTGGTTGCAAAACTCCAGAACAACTGAATGCCGATCAAGCATCTTGTAATATTATTCATTCACAGGTATGTCTTTCTGTGTTTTTGTTTGTTTGCTTTAATTATCTACTTTGTTATTCTCTATAATTGCTTGGATTTTATCCAAGATGCATATGTGAATCCTGGCTGGGATTCAGTTGCCTAAACTTAGACTTGTAATGCAGTTTTAGATGCCTTGTGGTATTGGTCTAGCTTTTGAGCTGCCACTACAGAAGGACGTGAGTCTCCTGTAGGTTCTTTGTAGATTTAACAGTCCCAAGAGGATGTCTTTATAAATATGCTTTATACACAAGGGGTACGTGATACCTTAGGGTGCCCAGAATGTCTCTAGGGCCCTTCTTTAGGCAACTGAACTTTATCCATAATGTATGATAATTACTGTTTCTAAGAATTTAAAAGTTTGGTTTATTTTCAGTGGATAGTAATTACTTGTGGTAGGTATTAAAAGCTTTCAAAGAAAATCTAATTTCTCAGTGTTAGCAGCTATTTTTAAAATAAGCTGTTTGCAAATTGATTCTTCAAAGTGTTTTCCCCAAAAGGCAGATTATACCATGTCATGCCTGAATAGTATTTTTTAAATACAGAAATATATTCAAAGGTGACTCTCAACTAGCATCTGTAAAGGTTTGTTGGAGTGAATGATTTTAGAGTTCTCAGTTTAAAGAATTCATTGTTCCCTGCTCTTCTGAAGCATAGTTAATAAAATTCTACTAAAAATAGTTGTGCAATTATTACTAGGTCATTATTTGCTGCAGCGGATATAGTGACATCATTGAGGAGTAATCCTGCTTGTCCTTAGATGAACATAATAATCAAAACAACACAATTTCTTCTGTGAATTCAGCAGTTCAGCTAATAGAAAAAGTTAATTCAAACTAGATTAATGAGAAAGTAATATTCTTATGTATTCTTTTTTTGCTATGTTTAATGATCTCAGTACTCTGAAGTCACACATGTCAACATAATGTGATTTGCTTAGGAATTATTTTTAGAGTTTTATTTTTAAGAGCTTTCTTAATGTTTTCAAAAATGTTACATGGTGTATTGACACTACAAATTGTGAAACATAGCAAAAGATGCTATGTTTATTCAGTATTTTGGGGCTTCACTGCCGTTCTGCAGTTTCTGTGCTGCTCTTTGTACCATTTGCAAGGCTAATACTCATGGCCAAAGCAACTGCCATTTTATTCACCTCACACAGACCAGTTCCAGTTATGAGTTTTGGATTACAAATTAGAATTATTTATTTTCTTTTCTATGTAGAGTACCTTCTTGTTCATTACCAAATTGCTCAGAAAAGAACTTGGCAAGAAAAAAATCCTAACACTTAGGTAAATGCTATTTGACATGGAGGGAGGGAAAAAAGCTTACAAGTTTATCAGGAAATTAGTATTTGCCTGAATTTTGTGCCAAACAAACTACGGAATAGTTAGATTAAATACTGAAAGCTTTCTCTATATTAGAATTTGGATAAGACTACTTCTATACATAGGTGGTTTGTGTATAGTTGGTTTAAATGGAACATTAAAGTTTTGGGTTTTTTTAGTGGATGACTGTAGTGCTAGGGCCTGAATAATAGATGAACCTCTACAACTAAACATTATCTATTATTAGTATCTGTTAATTAGTAAAATCTGTATTATCATTAGTGTTCATTATTAGTATCTGATCATTAACAAAATATGTATGCTCACTAGTGAAAGATGTAGCTTAGACAAAATGTAATTAGTAGTGAGGATGAAATGCTGTGAGAATGTACATCCAGCTTCCCTTGTTTACAGCAGTGTTCAAGGCTTAAGAACCCAAGTGTTTGTCCTTGCTAGAAACTCACTTGGTTCTTCTCCCCAAGCCCTGTCCAGGCTTTGTGTGGAATCCAACAGGAGGATGAAACCAGATGTTGCTGCTCAAAACAAAGATGCAAGTTATTCTGGCTTGCTGATTTTTGGTATATAAGGCTGGACCCGCTCGCAGCGACTTTGTGTGTCTCACCTACGGGTGGACGCACCACATAGGATTTCCCCCTTGCCGGGACAGGCTCTGCAAACCCTCGCTGTAACCGGGGCTGCCCAGCCACTGTGGGTCTGGATGATGGTAACATGTGCAAGTGGTGATGGATCTTTCTTTATCACTATCCTCCCCATCGTGTAGTAATGATTAGGTGCATTGCCTTGTTTAACTGTATATAATAATAAATAAGTGTGCTATTCCGTATTTTTCCTAGTGCTTATTTTCTGTAGTATTTAGTTATATCCTTTGATTATTAACAGTAAAATCAGCCTACTCTTTTCTCTCTGGTGTCTGAGTTTAATTGGCATCCTCGATCAGTAGAACAATGACCTTACAAAAAAGTAGTCTGGTAAAGCATCTGGGGTATTTTAAGCATTTTGGGGTATTATCTGGAGGCTTTTTTGCAAGGAGCTAGTGCCTGGGTTAGGAGTCACAAACCTGGAGCCTGTTATGCCTCTGCTATTCTGTATGCACTTCTGTCAGTTTGGTAAACAGTAGAAGCAATGCTGAAAGGCCTCCAATACTTTGCCCTCTTCAAAAAAATCTCTCACCTATTCTAAGATATGCCCCATTAAGCACCTCAGGATTACTCTGAAGATAAAGTTTTATTTCATTAGTGTTGTTGAATCAATTACACCAGAGCTTCCTGTTGCCTCCTTTTTATTTCTGTGTTGAATCAGAATGAGGAACAGAGATGTCTTGTTAGTATGTGAAGGTGTAGCTTACCGTTTCATTAATGTCTGTTTACTTGAACTTAGTGATGTGATGATTCATTAAGGTGTAAAAAGACCATGAAGTAGATCCCAAGCATGGGAATAAGTGAGGAAGATGGGAACAGGATAATACAGGAGGAGTTTTATGGCAGTAATATGATTTAGTATTAAGAGGAAAAGAAATGTTGATGAGGACTGTGCAGAAATATATCCTATGATGATGTTCTATCATTTGCAAGTAGAAATGAGTTTTTCCCTTTGTCATATGCGCTATGAACATATTTTTATCAACCAGCAGTGGGTTTTTGTTCTTCATTGCCTGTGGTAAATTTTTTAATTGAAAATATTACAATGATTGTTTAATCTTTAAAGTACTTACCCTATTAATTACTAGATTAACACTTTTTGCTGATAATTTTTAGTAAACTTCTTTGAATCCAAAATCTTTTAAGAGGCACTGTTTCTTCTTGTAGATTGCTGGTTTCTCCAATAGCTACTGGGAATTAAGGAGATGTCGACCAAAACTAAAGAAACTGAGGAAACTTTTAATGGAAGATCCATATGAAGGGCCAGATAGTCAGAACGATCAGACTTTAACATTTTCAAAGGTAAATCAGCTATATAAGTTACTTTCTTGTGATTGGTAATGGGCAAATTAAAGCGAAGATATTTTTCTAGTTAAGAATGTGTCTTTGCTCCCATGTGTCAGAGTGCTTCTCTGAGTTAATTTTTAAAGCATACTATTCTAAACAATATATTAATTATTAGCACTTCTACTTAGTAGCAGGTAAACAACTTTTATTTAGTAAAAAGAGGACAAGGCAGGACACCAAAAGAGACTGGGGATTTCCTGTTTTATGTGGGGAGTTTCCTGAAGACAGTCTTCACAACCTTTTGTAAATTCCTTGAGAGTTACGTGACTAAGGTGTAATGTAGCCTTCCCTCCTTCTTTAGGGCTGTCCTGTATGAGCTAAGTATAACGTTACAGGGCACTCACATACAAGTCACTTGCTAATCAGTAATTTATGATGATAAGAAGCAGGGAGTTGCAGAGAATGATGAGGATGATATAAGGCAGAGAATAAGACTGACACTACAAAAAGAGAAGACACCAGTAAAATCCTTTTTCTGCTGCCCTTTTATGTCTAGGAAATCCACTTTAGGATCTAAATAGTAATGGAGACACCTGGACTGGGTAGCATATAATATCAGATAAAAGGCTTGTAAAAATCCTGGAATTTTGTTAGTTTGGTTGGTTTTTCGTTTGACTTTAGAAAACAGAAATGGTTGCTCCAAAGTATTTTACACTTGAGTCTTGACTGAAGCAGATACTAACAAACCATCTGTTTGCTTGCATATACAAGCATGGATGTTTGTTTTATCCTGTGGAGGGAAATGCTGCCTCTCTCTGGGTGATTAACAGTCTAACTTCTGATAAGTTGCAGAATCTTTCCCCCAGCATTGCTTTTTCCCGCTTTCATTTTTCCTGCCTACTCTGGTCTAGGCATAAAAGGACACAGCAGCAAAATAAGGGATGTCCAGGAATTATAAGCACTGACAAAGGCTAGCAACACAAAAATGTATTTTATGCAATAGTATTTACTGATAATTTAAAATGTTTTTTTATAAAAACATGTCAGTGTCTCCCCAGATGTTACTGCCTAGTTTGAGGACAGATCTTCTCTGTTTTGAAGAATGTTTCACATCAATTTACAGAGAACAGCAAGATATATCTGATAAATATTGATGAACCTTAAGGCTATGACACTGGCAGAACTTTAATCTCAAAGCTCTCCATGGGAAAGCTCTCTTTCCTATGTGACTAGTTCTCACTTGTATCCCAAACAGCATGTGTGTAGTAAAAATTTTTGCTGTGTTGTTGCTTGCACTTAATATTTATTGGGTGCTGGAAAAAATAAGCCATGTTTAATCTGTTTGAAAACCAATTACTATGTTTTGGTGGCTTACTGTTCAGTTGTTTGTACTGTATCATACACAGAGAATTACAGGAAAGGAACCGTAAGGAACTATAGCACTATAAGGTATTACTATAAGGAAGTCACAGATTATAATATGTGATTTAGGAAAGACAGAACACATTCACTTTTCATTCTTGCTGTGGTACTTTACTTAGTACGGTGCCTACTTGTGCTAGTTTGACATCCTGGGAATACAGGTATATTACTTCTGCACAGCACAAAGACTTCCCTGTAGTTAGACTGGGTTTTATATTGAAGAACCCTTTGAGGGAAAAATGTAAGTTACAGGAAAAGTTTCAGAGAGTGTGGTAAACCTTAGAGAATTCAGAGCTTGTGGGGAAAAAAAAAGTCTTCTAAGTCTTCCTTTCATTATATCTTATAATGCATTTAGCATTCTTGCTGAAGCAAAGGAGCAAGGATAACCGGATTTATTTTCTTCTTTTTTTCCCCTGTTGCAGTATACAACGGAAGATTTGTTAAGTCTGATTCAAGCAAGCGAAGAAGAAATAATGCACCAATTGCAGGTTATAGATGCCTGCAAAATTGGAGGTATTCATCTCTTAAAGAATATTATTGCCCTGTTTAGTTTTTTTCCACAAAATATCTGTATCTTCTCTTTCTAAAGCCCAGTCCACATCCTTGTCTTTCAAGGTGCAAGTTACCTCAAAGTACTAAGATCTTCCGTATTTCCTATATCCTCTGCTGCTTTGAAGCTGATCAGAAGGGGAAACCCAAGCAGGCATTGAGCAGTCTGGCTCTTCACAGGGTAATTCCTTGTTTGCTTCTATAAACACTGGCATCACAGTATCCCACCCATAGCATAAATATTTTTTGGCTGATTGCCCTCTTTGTGGATGAGTGGGTACTGCTTTCTGCAGTTCTAGAGGCAAAAATAGCTGAGCCTTAGGTAACCCCAGTCCTTGTTCCTCCCAGGCTGGATTTATCTCAGAAGTCTCCCTACCATGTGAGGCAAGGCTGGAACAAGTGTCTCACCTTGGGATGGTCCTACTCATCCTATAATTGGCCAAGCCCAGACCCTCACCTGGACACCAGCTGACAGCAGTCCTAGAGTCATAGAATTACATAGGGCAGAACCCAGCTCTGGAGGTTATCAGGTTCAAACCCCTGCTTTAGAACAGGGCCAGCTTGGAGCTGGCTGCTCAGGGCCTCGGCTGGCCAAGTTCTGAGCATTTCCAAGGATGGAGGTTGCATGACCTCTGTCCAGGCTGTTCCAGTGTTTGACTGTCCACAAGGGGAAAAAAAAATTCTCCTAATACCCAGCTGTTTTTTTTTCCCTTGTTGCAACTTGTGCTTGTTGCCTCCTGTCCCATCACTGAGCACCACTGAGAAGACTTCTGCTCCATCTTTTCTATACTGTCCCATGAGGTGGGTTAGGACAATCTCACATATGACTTTCCTTGTCATTTACAGCTGTACAGCAGCACTGTACCAGAACTGTGCTTTGTCACATCTGAATTTCTGTGAACTTGGCTGGACTTGAACTGCCACTTTGCAGGGCCAGTGCAGGCAGTTCAGTTCATGCAATTCTGTATGTGAATTAGTTATTTTTTTCCAGGTTGGATTGATCTTGGGATGGGATTTGTAGTGTCTTTGTATGTGTGGCAGTTAATCTACATAAACAGTTATGAATAATTGAGATGATTTGATTTCTTTCTCCTTTATATTTACTCTTACTATTCTGTTCTTTTTCTCAGTTTTAATCCTGAAAAGGACAGAATGCTGTTGCTGTACTTTGTAAAGGTGTGACCTAAATGTCCAGACTCCTGTAATGTATCTTCAGGGGAGCAGAATCGATGTGTTAATGTTTTTCTTCTAACACTGTTTTGTTGTTTTCTGTTTGGCAGGATATTGGAGAATCCTAGAATTCGACTATGAGATGAAACTGTTGAATCATGTGACTCAACTAATAGACTCAGAGTCCTGGTCTTTAAGTAAGGTTCCTTTACGTACCTGCCTTGAGGAACTTGGATGTCTAGAGCCCACGTAAGCAATAACTTTTAGTACTTAAAATTGTCTACAGTCATTATTATCTATACTAGTTGCAATCATTATTAATTATTTATTAGAATTATAGTCTTATAACTAGATTCCAGTTACTGTGCTGTTAATGATGTATATTTTAGAGCCAAAGAAAATACAAGGGCATTAGTAGTTTAGACAGGTTAGTAAACTGATCTTAGTATCTATTGGTAATATTTCTATTGATTCAATAGTTGAAACATTTCTGCTGAGTCATAAATGATGGAAGTGGCATGTGCTTAAGCCATAAATTACTAACCATCTTGAAATACTTGTTCTGAAGCTAGCCAGAAATGTTTAGTTTACATCTTGCATAATGTCTGAGATGGTATATTTTTCTGGTGTAATACTGAATTCAAATCTGAAGAGTTGAGTTTATTGTACTGCCATTTGGAGTCATTAAATAATTTAAGGTTACCAATCAAACAAAGTCTTAAGTTTACAATGTGTAGTGTCTTCCATTTATTTGGGTTTTGGTTCAAAAAGAAATCTTACTTTAGTATTAATGTCTTCAGATAGGTTGTAATTTTATGCCAGGGGTCTAGAAAAATGCCTGCTATTCAGTCAGGGGTAATGAACTGCTAAGTTTGTGACTTGCATCACTTCTCATTGGAAAGAAGCAACATTGCAAGAGTCTCTCTTCCTTATTCTCCTTATGCCTTTTAGTCTTTACTAGCTATAACTAGAAAGTGGAAGAGACTTTTGGGATGACAAGTCCCATCTGTCTTTTTTTGTCCCCTTTTGTCCTTTTTTAACTGCTTAAGTTTTTTTTATCAATTTGTTCATTTCAGCCATGAAGACGTGTCCCATCCTTCATTCTCCTTGATTTTTTACTTTACCTGTTCCTTCATCTTCTTGGTTACTGTTTCTGTAGTGTCCTAGGGGACAGTTTTAAACCTTGATTTCTCTATTTTTTTTTTCTTTCTCAGAGAGATGATAGAACATATTCTTTTAAGCTATGGAAGGAAATACATTGATGATGGTAAGTTTGAGAAAACATGCATATTTAAATTTTGTGTAAAGGAAACATTAATGAGTAAATATAGGGTTTGTGGGGACGGCACAAATAAATTAATTTGCTACAGTGTCAGTAAAAGGAGGGAGCAAACTGAGTTAAGAATCAGTAAAATTGGTAGAGAAAGTTTCACAGGAAAAAGTATTAAACTGTACAAGACACTAGGGGAAAAAATCAAGATCCATCAGAGGTATCTGAAGTGATTTATTAGGTGTCTACAAGCTATAATTTTGTGAATAAAGACAGTTCACTGATAAAATTTAGATGGAATCTCTCTTTAGAGAGATTCTTTATCTCACATATTTAAGCAACTCATTGTGCCATTGTGAATAGTCAATGGCATGTAGACCTCCCTGAATTCAGCTTAGCTGGAGTAGACATCTGCCTCTGGGTGCTTGAACTTCACCACAAGATCCATTGATTGTATTGATTAAATCTTCGTTGCCCATCTCACACGCAGACATAATATTTCAGTGCCTTAATCTCAATATGAATTCTTCTGCACAGTTGCTTTCATCTCGCCTTTGGCTGAAGCAGGAGTTGTGCTCAACTGTAAAGGACATAGGAAAGTAGTAGGAGTGACACAGATTCTGTCTTAGAATATTTAGAGAGGTTGCAAAAGGAACAAGTTTGAATTGCAGGAAGGTAAGGTGACTGGAAAAAGTGGAAGAAAGTGTTTATGCCTGTCATTGTTCAGAGCATTTTAGCCAAGTCATTGTGAAAGAAAATAAATTCTAATTATTCACTTCATCATCTCGTATTATAAGGATGATTAAGGAAGAGAAGTTTTGATTAATTGTTCAACCACAGACAGTCAACACTTTAATACAAACCATTCAGAAATAGGGATGAACGCTGTAGGAGAAACATTACTGTGAAAGGGGAAAAGATAGGAGGCCAATACCTTTATTGATGATGAGTACTGTAGCTTGGACAGTGCTGCACACACACATAATATTCTGCTTAATTTGTTCTTGAGAATGAGAAGGTACCATCATTTATCCAAAGTAATACTAAGTCAGGTTACACCCTGAGGAAAAGAAAAAACAGGGTACTTGGTTTGTAGAAGACTGTAGAACAGAATGGAGAAATGAGGCTGTTAGCCATTCTTTTATCAAAAAGCAAGAACTCAGGATAACCCATTTTTTGTTCCTCAGCAGGGGACGTTTACTTTGAAATGCATGAAGATAAAATATGCAGAGCTATAGCACAAATGCTTTTGCAAAATGCAGTTAAATTCAATCTGTCAGAATTTCAAGAAGTCTGGCAACAAAGTGTCCCTGAAGGGATGACAACAAGACTTGATCAGCTTAAGGTAAAAACAAAGTATGGATTCTTCCATGAGTAGGCTGTTAACTGACTTGAGTCATATTGTAGATTTTATAAATTAATGGGGATTGAATGTGGTAAGTACATCTTGTGACATCCACTATAAGCACCAGTAGTCTGGAATCACGACAGTTCAGGCTTCTGAAAGTCTGGCACATTTCACTGTTTGAAAAAAAGAAAAAAAAAAAAAGTTGCAGCTGTACATTTAATATTTGTAAATATAATTAGAACAGAAGCTGAAGCTATTGTCAAGCAGACTGTAGTGACAGCCAGTAGAGTAGCAAGCACCATGAAAATCCTTCTTCTCAAAGGAGACATAGATATTGGGACTTAATGGATTTCCCCCTCCCTCCTTGTCATAAAGGAAATGATAAACACTGCCTATAAACCAGCAATTTTATGATACTTTTTTCATTTTGCTTCTAGCAGTGCAGTTTTAGAAGGCTTTGGAGGTGCAAAGGGCAACTTGTATGGGTTATCCCCAGAAAGAAGGAAGTTTAATTGTTTAGTCTTTACATAACATTTTCTCTGGGATGCTGATCTACAGGGCTTGGCACTTGTGGATAGAACCTCAAGGCCAGAGACCATCTTTCTGCTAAAAGTGGAAGACTTACCTGAAGACAATCAGGAAAGATTCAACAGCTTATTCAGCATACGAGAAAAGTGGACAGAAGAGGATATTACCCCCTATATACAGTAAGGATGTATTTCATGTTATTAAAATACAATTAGTGTTGTATTTGTTCCATTCCTTTTTGCACAGATGACTTCTTATCAGCTATGATTGCTTCTGCCCATTTTAAATTAATATGAATTCTGTATGAATAGAATCTCCACCCCTGGGAAATATAGCTATATTCGTTGGATTTAAACTTGCTAAAAAAGCTGATCCTACTAAATTTAAATGAGCGGTAACTGTCTTATTTGATTTAGGCGGACTTAACTCAAAGGATAAACCTCCTGACATTCATGATCAGTCTCCATAACTTAAGAACTATAGAGCAGCAGTGCTTCCTGTGCTGTGTCCTTTCTTGTTCTGGTGGTTAACACTTACACCACAGTGCTTTCTGGAAGGCCAGCCAGGATGCAGGTGAGCAGATATACATGGTAGCCCAGAAGTAACTGTATCAAACCTTGATGAGTGGTTCTAAATTTACTATAATATTACTAAATAGTTCAAAGTTAACTGTTTTGCTAGATTGAAAACCTTTTAGAGAACAGTAATAATAAAACCCAACCAACCCCCCTAAAAAACAAAATCCTTGTTTCTGAAGTAAATCATAGAATAATTTAGGTTGTAAAAGACCTTTAAGATCATCAAGCCCAGCTGTAAACCTAACACTGCCAAGACTGCCACTAAACCATGTCCCTAAGCACTACATCTACACGTCTTTTAAATATGTCTAGGGGTGGGGACTCAACCACTTCCCTGGGCAGCCTGTTCCAGTGCTTGACAACCCTTTCAGTGAAGAAATTTTTCCTAATATCCAATGTAAACCTCCCCTGGTGCAACTTGAGGCCGTATCCTCTTGTCCTATAAAATAATGTAGTTTTGCTTGTTGCTTAAATGTCAGGCTGAGTTCTAAACAAGGTAACTTAAAGCATTATGTGACAGTTCAGTAGTAGGTTTTATTAACTCCCTGAATACCCTAATCCAGTTTATTGCTATACTTACAAATATGTCACGGATTCATTTTGTATGAGAGTATCTCTAATGCCAATGTGTTTTGCTTTATTTCCTACATAGAGATTTATGTGCAGAGAAGCAGACAGTTGGTGTTCTTCTGACAAAATATGCTCGCTCCTCAGTGCAGAATGGTGTTAAAGTTTATAATTCTAGAAGACCCATCTCCTAACAATTATTGTTTTAAGAACTGAGAATACTGAATGGAGTGAGTGTTGCTTCTTACTTCCTCCTGAGGACGTTGTCAACCAGTATCATATGGTGTTCTTGAGTTTAAGCAGCTAAACCTCTTGAATGAGTTCTGTTTTCTGCTCAGCTAAAGTAGTATGTGAGGGCACTTGCCTCTTCTAAGAAACAGCCCTTGCCCACCATTCCTTGCCCACCTTCTTTTTCCTTTGTGCCTGTAGTTATGCCAGGAGTCAAGCTACTTCTTGAATACATTTTAGTTGTGTATAAGTAAACTGAAGTCTGACATTAAAAATTAAAACCTCTTTGATAATAATTGAACCAATTGTATCGATTTCAACAGCAAAATAGAATACTTAGTCTTTTGCCCATCAGTGAGCATTCTTAAAAGATTACAGTTTCGTTGCAGTGTTGACATTTTGAATACTGCAGACCTTGACAAGCTCATAAACAAGTTATTCCTCGCTGAGACTAAACACTAGTCTTAATTTTGGAAGGCGGTTCTTTTTGTGGTCATGTCTGTGAATAACATTAACACAGGCTCTTGAGACTTCTAACACTTGGCAGAATTGCCTTTTAAATATTACAAAAAACCAAATTGCAACTGAATGAAGATATGAGAAAATAGTTGGACATTGTCTTATACACTTTCTGTAAACTGACATTACAATGTAGCTGAGGTAAAACTAACGATTTACAGAAGACTACCTTTGCTTATAAAACTTTGTAATATAATTATTTTAAAAAAAACTTTGTTATGGCAAATAACTGCACACAGAAATTGTATTGAAAACTTGAGGTGGAATATTATTCTGTGTAGAGCAATGAAACAGGATTTTTTTATGATACTGTCATAAAGTGGAGTGCCTGAAATTGAAATTTTGTAATCATAAAGAAGGATTGCATGTCAGTAAACTAGAGTTTAATACTAAATTGTTTTTTTTAAAACTTAATAAATGTAGGGGGGGGTTATGCAAAAAGAATTTGCTGTATCAAACTCAGATGTAAGGTCTGAAAAATCTTGGAACTACTAGCATGCCAAATACAGGGTGAGTGGGGAAAGAAACTATACATCAGATGTAACTCTTAAGATGGATGTGTGCATCCCTGGAATCTTGTTATAGATAAAAAGCTGAATAAAAATTGCTGCCTGAGCTCTGCTTATTCTTGGCCTCCTGATGCGAGATCAGTTCCTGTGCTCCTCATTTCTGAAGCGTACAAGTGTGGTGTTTGATGCAGCTGTGGAGGGGCTCAGCTGGCTTACGGTGGCACTCTGTCAGGAAGAATTGCTTTGTTCAGTCTGGTTTTAGCACCTGTGGTCTTTTAATTGCACCAGAAGGTTCCCTCTGATATCAATAGTAATACACACATAAAAGCCTTGAAACTAACTTCCATTGCATCACAGAAGGTTCCCTAGTTTAAATACACAAGACAATTAACAGTCTTGTAGTTTGTGATACAGATACTTAGAGTGGGGTTTGTTTTTGAAACAAGAATTCAGGTATTCCACAAATAGTGCTGCATCGTGGTGCTGAGGTAATGATTCAGGTTTATATAAAAAATTTTTGCATGTTCACAGTGTTTCTGTTTTGTCAGGCACTGAAAATGAGATGATGCTTTCTAAATTTCAAGAACTGCTGATCTTGAAAGGGGTAACTCCATTCATTATCTGCTTTGACACGCATTTATTTTAACTCAAGGTAGATGAATTATAACTTGCTTTTACTAGGACAAAACTTGATTACAAAGAAACTTCATACAGTGTTCTCCTGATACTGGAACTAAGGACACTCCACAGCACACTTCGGTGGGAGGGAAGAGGCCGTTAACCCGATCTCATGTTGTGGCTCAGTGCCATGCTGCTGGCAGCGTTGTTGGCTTAAATCCTTTTTTCATTCAAAAGTGAAGACTGATGTGTTTTAGCATCTTCCTGTGAGTCTCTGTCGGGTCTGCCCTTGAGCCCGGCCCCTGAGTAAGTTCAGATATTAAACTTTAGTTCGCTCATTCAAGTAGCTGTGTTTGTCAGTCACCGGAGCTTTACTAGTGCAAATGCAGGTAGGGGGAGGCTCCCGCGAGTCAGCCAGCAGCCGTGGGCTCAGCCGGCCGCTGGCGGGAGCTTTAGCAGGGGCAGCAGCGCGCCAGCCCCACGCTGACTCCAGCCCGCGGGTTGCAGCCTGCCGCGGCCTCTGAGGGCTGAGCAGGGGCTGGGGCTGCCCTCTCATGAAATAAACCCCGACTGTAAATCAGAACCGAGCAGTTATTTTACGGCCCTGCCCCTCAGCACGACCCGAGGTGTCCGGACGGAGCCGTACCCAAGCGCGGGCGCGCGCAGCCCTCACGCCCGCCGACCTGAGGCCC